CTAAATGAATGAAAAATGCCTCCTTTTATAGGCTAAAATTCAAAACTATTCATTTGGTAATTGGTAATTGATGTAGTGGCCAACTATTGATTAGTGGACTTGGTGGACAACATCACTCAAGCATTTTGGCTGACTAAATTAACATTGATACCATCAGAATTTGGCAAAGTGTTCCTCATAAAAGTTGTTGGAAATTGTCTTTCACTTCCACCCACCAAATGTCAGATCATTTGGGGCACTACAACTCGAGATATGTCTAAAATATTGAGTAGTGCTGCTAGTGGACGCGGTGGATAGCCCTCATGCTCTTGTCTGGATGAAATGTCATTTCTACCATCCGAATTTGAGCTGGTCTTCTTCATGAAAGTTGTTACCAATTGTCTTTTACTTCCACCCACCAATTTTTGATTATTTGGACTTTTAGATATGTTTGATTCCTTTAAGCTTTTCTCCTCAACCCATGTAACAAGCGTTGGGCCAATAGCTCCCAAGTCAGTTGACTTTAGGGTATTAGGTGTTAAAACACCCCTTCGGGCTTAATTGCTTAGGTTAGGGAGGCTACGAAACCAAACTTATCTACATTTTTATTATCATCATTTTTTTTTTCTTTTTTTTTTTTTTTTTTTTTTTTTTTTTTTTTTTTTTTTTTTTTTTTTTTTTTTTTTTCTTTTTAATTATATACAATCCCTTTCCCTTAGTTGTTACCTTTAACAAAAGAACATAAATAATGTAATAATCCAATATGCAACCCACAATCATATGTTAAAGTGTGTGTGTGTAAATTAAGGTTTAAGAATACATGTTAAATAAGTATATGAGCAGAATTAAGTGGTAACAATACGAGAGTTTGTAAACCTGAATATTTCAGGAAGTATTATAATAGACCTTGTTAAGAATGGTTACTAAGATGCGTCTCAAGAGTCACTTTAACAAAAGAACTCCTTTACTCTGCCATCCTAGTAACAACAATTATGCACATGCTTTATGAAATGAAATTTTTTTTTTTATCAACTACTACCCTCTCCCCCCAACCAAAACGAGACATTGTCCTCAATGTTCTAAGGTAGAAAGATAGAGTATAAAAGATATCACCTGAAATAACGAACACTGACAAAACCTGAAACACACTGAAACAAAAATAAGAAATAACAAAACACAATAATAAAACCAAAAGACATAAACATTCACAAATGAAGGCTCAAATCCAATCTAAGCTTTTTACGGCTTTCCTTAGATGACCAATTTATGCGACTCATGGAAGGATCAATCACAGGAATGAAAGATTGTAGTTGGTCAATCAATTGTTCAGCAGTAGTAGCAGAGATTATGATTTGTCGTGCAGAAGATGTTAGAAATTCCTGTTCCACAGCATGATCAAGAAAAGACAACAACTTATCATAATAACCATTAACATTTAACAAACCTATGGGTTTATGGTGAATGTGCAGTTGAGCCCAAGAGGAGATATGAAAGATCTCTTCCAATGTGCCTAGACCACCTAGTAAAGCAATGAAGGCATCAACATGGTTAAACATTGAATTCATTCGAGCCGACATTGTGGAGACCTGAAGTTTCTCTCCAATTATTTTTCCAATAATGTCCCCTTGTGCTAAAGCTTCGGGGACGACCCCCAAAACTTGACTACCTTCTAAAAATGTAGCTATTGACATACCTCCCATTAACCCAAGACTGCCTCCCCTATACACTAAATGAATCTTTCTTTCAGCTAGCACCTGACCAAGATGATTTGCTGATTTTAAAAACTCATTTTCTTTCCTAGGACTAGATCCACTGAAAACACAATTATTTCTTATGTGATGACTTGAGGAACTTGCCATTGGTACACGCTTCTATATTTGTTAAATGTATGGGTTGAGTAGAAATGAAAGGAAGGAAGAGAGGATTTTATAGATGAGAAATTAAAAGGGCAATCATACCACCTATGTGTAGGCTGGCTGGAGTCTCACACACTCTCTTTATTTATTTATTTATTTACGTTTGAAAAAGCATATAGATGTGCAGGTAGTTGTGATTGTGGCTCACATCTTCCCTTGGTTTTACGTCCAAGAACTGCTTAAACACCCTCTATGGGTCGGGGATAGGCTTTCCATCTAGTTTTCTTAAAAACTGGCAAATATGATCTTTTTTAGTCAGATTCCCAAGACTAAGTCGAGCATGTTCTTTATGAAATAGAGCCATAAATCATGAATTGCACGATGCACATCTCCACTAGGATGCGTCTCAAGAGTTAATAGAAGATTATCTAAAGAGTCCTTACTCAAGCCATCCTTAATGAACTGTATTTTATCTTCATGACTTATAGATACCATTCCTAAAGAACGACATTATGCATTACAAGTCCATCTGGCACATCAATAACAAACTTTCAGTCGTTTTGCATGACGTTTCTTTGCAAAAGTGTTTTTACCTATTCCAGGCATCTGTGAAATGAAGGAATTAGAGGACTCACATGATAATCGGACCTTTGCTTCAATTAACCAGCGAATATCTTCAGGAATTCCATGATTCATTAACAACCTCAATCTTGCACATCTAGCATGATAAATTTTTATAATCGCATTCTGAGGTAGAGCGGGAAAATACTTTTTCAATTTTTCAAGATTAATGTCCATTTTCAAATGAGATTAGAAGAGAGATTTATAGAATTACACAAATATATACACAGATATCAGTTATTATAGAAAATTGAAAGAACCGACTTAAATCACGGAGTACCGTTGTCCGCCATTTGACTGGGGTGAGAGAAGCAAGCAAAAATCACTCAAAAAGAAACACAAAAATAATATGAAAGAAAAAAAAATCAATCTTTATATACTGGATCACCCAATTCAATAGAGCCATTTTCAACTGAAAAATTATCAAAGTAAACTTTCAAACGATGTCCATTTACCTTGAAAACATTGCCATTCTTTGGATTCTTGATGTCACAGGTCCCATATGGATACACATGTTTCACAATAAAAGGACCGCTCCATCTTGATCTTAGTTTTCTAGGAAATAATTGTAGTCGAGAATTATAAAGCAAGACTTTTTGACCAACATTGAATGTTTTTCTTAGAATATTCTTGTCATGAAACTCTTTGATTTTTTCTTTATGAATTCTTGAATTGTCATATGCATCAATTTTTATTTCCTCAAGCTTATTTATTTGTAATTTTCGCAGTTGACTAGTATCATCCAGATTTGAATTGAAAGCTTTGATAGCCCAATAAGCTTTATGTTCAAGTTCCACAGGTAAGTGACAAGGTTTTTCATAGACTAGTCTATAAGGTGACATACCTAATGATTTTTTATAAGCAATTCGATAAGCCCAAAG